CGAGAGAAATGTTGAGAGAGAGAGAAAATATGGATTGAAAATGAATTAGGGTTTGAAAAATTAATATTATAATATTATTTAAATATTTAATTTATACCTGATTTTTGATTAGATAAATCTTGGACCTGAATTTTGAATTTGAAAGTTTAAACCACTGGTTTTTTGTAATTTCCTCTTTAACTTATGAAGAACCGTTGGTTCGATTCGATTCGGTCCGGTTCGATTCGAGATTTTTGGACACCCCTATATTTGATTAACACTTTTTCCATGAAAAATATTTTTCAAAATTGGTTATGCGATCATATTTTCCTCAAAATTAAAGAAAATATTTTTTTGAGAAGAGTTATATTTTTATTTTCAAAGCAATTCATTCTCTCTCTCTCTCTCGTCTATCCACCAATATAAGATTGACAAGTATAACAATTTTTAGGTTCAAAATAAACACATTTAATTAATAATTTTCAAGTAAATAAGTTCTATGTCTAGAACTTATTTTCTTCCCATGTAAATTTACGTTTACAATCAAACAATACTGCCGAGAATATCGTCACGGTTGCTAGATTTGTCTAAGATATAATATATCATAAATGTCACTATAACCATTTTGCATGATTGAATGATCATAAATAGACCGAGATTACGTAAGAATAACGTAACCATGCAAATGACTTTTACCTAACCCATGTTAGAAGTCACTGATTTCACGCGGCAAATGCACGTTACAACCCTCTAATTACGGAATATAATACTCTGCATGTTTTGAAAATATTAAGATAACTGATTTACGCCTCAAATGCAGGAAACTTTTTGCTTTACTTTCTTATTCTTTAATCATTTTATGCATTTTGTTTTTTAGTTAAGAAGACGTCAATGTGCAATGTATCACAAGTGTGAACGCAACATTGTTTATTCCAAATTCATCATGAATGTACGGCGAAATAATCGTTAAACTCATGTGCTCTCAACGCCTTCATTTCTCTATATATTCGTCTTCTTTCATTCTTATCCCCACCCAATATCTGTGACGCACATAGCAAAACCATAGTCCTGCTGCCTTGAGACGACTGCACGACGCTACATCATAGCAGCACGACCAAATATAGGCAGCAACCTAATTTTATAGAACTCTCTTGTTTTCGTGTGCTAAAAAAAAATTCTTATTTTCAGAAATAAAATGGGAAATTGCTTGGCAAATCCAACTCTTATTGCAGAAGACGGAAAGCCAGAACCTTCAAAGAAAGCAAAAACAACATCCCGAGTTGTTAGCATAACTAATCTTTCGAAGCTGAATGCGCGTAATGAAGGCATAAGCACTTTGGAAAATTTCAGTGAATTCAAAGGCAAAACAGTGAGGATCCGAGTTTTGTTGACTCAAAGAGAGTTGAGCCAGCTTTTGAATGGAGAATTACAGAAATCTTCTTCTTCTTCGTCGTCCCACCAATTGCTCAACGCACTGCAACTAAAAGGTAGAAGAATTGCAGAAGCTGGATTGCAGGATTGGAGGCCAGATTTGGAAACCATTCCTGAGGATTATTAATGCCTATTTTTCACATTGGCACTAACTCTCTGATATTTATTTTTACTAATAATTCTTTATTGTATTTTGTTGATCTTCTTTGATTATCAGATCAGGATAACCTTCTCATATTGTACTTCATTTTCTTTCCTCTTTTCTGCCTTTTTTCCTCCATAAATTTCATGTCGATAAAATAAGAAAGTTATAATACATAAGGGGTTTGGACGAATTATCTTGACAAGGATAACCTTTTAGGATCTTGCTACATGTATATTAAGGTTACATGAGGGATTACATAATGACACTTTACCATTTGTTAGTTTAAAACTTGGTCAACTTTTTCATCCACTCTTTTCCCCCCATATCATTTTAAGTAGGGAAAATTTCATATAAAAGAGTTTAACTATGATCAATTTCAAAATGAAGAAATTAGGTTTAAAACTTCAAAAATCAGATATTATTAAATCTTATTTATGAAATAATTAATTAAATATATTAATTTCACAATTCTATAAATTTTGGACACAAATTATTTCTCAATCACAAATCAAAAATTTTATAGGTCACAAATTATTCATCAATCATAAAATCAAAAATCTTATAAGTCATAATTCATTTATCGTCACAAATCACAAATTTTATAAGTCACAACTTATTTAACAGTCACAAATTATCAGATTAATTGACCACAAATTATTTCTCAACCACAACTTAACAGATTGTAAGTCACGGTCATTTTTAGGTCATATATTGGTTACAAATTAAACGGTTTATCATTGTCACAATCATCCAATTTATTGTTCACAAACACTTCGTCTCACTCAACTGTAGCTGTCATCACCCCCATCCCCACACCACCAACACAACCTACACCACAACTGTTTGTGATCACCACCACTAACAGCGCCAAATCCACCCCCACACCACCTCACCAACACCAAAATCCACCACCATTGCCATGATCTACATGAAACGCCACCAACAAAAAAGCCCTAAAATTTACAGTGGCTACACAAACACACCTCAAAAAAACATTACAACAGATTCACTCGCACCAACACAAGATGCATGATAGTATCTAAATAGGGCGCCGTGCCCAAAAGTGTCGGCTCGCTGGAAAGCCCAGTAGCGATGCTCATCGTCGGCGCTCAACCAATAGATCTAACATCGTCGGCACTCAACCACAAACTACAAATCACAACCCACAATATTGGTTTTACATCGCTGATCAAGATAGCCTCGGCGTTGCGCAGATCGAGATGCAGTGCTGTGCATAGAGATGCTACACGATGCGGCGCTGTGTAGCACCTTTGCGCCACTGTAATACCTTTGAGCCATTCGGTGACCTTGTGCACGGTGGCCATTAGTGAGGCTACAATGGTCGTTCAGTGTCTCGGCATCACACAACAAAGTTAGGGCTGTCCGTGGGTCGGTTCGGTTCGGTTCGGTTCGGTTCTGAAGAAACCCGAATCGACCCAAAACTTTCGAGTATTTAATAAATGGACCCGTCGGGTCCAAATATAAATATATAATCGTTCGGGTTCGGTTCGAGTCTGTTCGGTTCCGTTCGGTTCGGTACCATAATTAAATTTTT